CCCCCCCCCCCCCCCCCCCCCCCCCCCCCCCCCCCCCCCCCCCCCCCCCCCCCCAGCGAGTACTCGTAGTACAAAAAAAACTAAAAGGCAGACCAAACGAGTAATAGTGCATGCAATGTCAGGGAATGGTAAGACAGGGGAGGGTGGTTCCCAAAGCTGGCGTGGGGTGGCATTTGCTCCAGCGTAGCATCTGCTTGCGGGTTTGACTTACCATTGTCCAAAGGTATCAATGCCATTTCGATTGGCGTGTCTACCGCTGCTACCGCCATATGGATTTGCTCTTGCGCCGGCCAGGGCAGCGTCGACGTCGAAATCAGAGAAGACGATGATTCGGTCGAGGCCGGAGAGGAGCCCGCGTCAACCGGCGCTGGCAAAGGGGTCCGGGACGCCCTAGCACCGGAGGTGGCTCCGCGGCCGCCCCCACGGCTGCGGACACGGCGACGGACACGGCGGGCACCACGGGCGCCAGGGGCAGCGGGGAGAACATGAAAGGCTGAAGCCACAGCAGCCTCCTCTGCAGGGACTACGGGCGTGTTCTCTGGCGCAGGCCGGAGCGGCCGCTGGCGAGGGTGAGCCTGGGATTGAGAGTGCGGATGCGAGGGCTGCGGGTGTGGCGCCAGTTTGATGCGCTTGGCCGGGCGCCCTTGGTCCAACGAGTCTCCCATTCTGTGCGAGTCAGGTGCTTGCTGGAAGCGAAGAGACCAGGCTCGCGTGGCAACGAGGATTCGGGACGCCTGGATTCAAACTGTATAGGCAGGCCGCAGACGCACGCCAGGCTTGTCAATGGTGGGCTCACGGACGGCGGACAGGAACACGCGCACACATGCACACACGGGCCAGGGTGTGGGTGTCACTGAAGCCTGGACGACAACCAAAGGCAGGCTGGCGGTGGACCATGCACAATTAATAAAGCCGATCGCCAATTACCAGCCGGCAGTGGCCTCGCGAGAAGAGTATTTGCCGGGCTGTACCAAGTATGACCAGAAGCGGGCGTTTCATCCACGGGCTCGGCCAGCCGGGTCAAATCAGAAGCCACCCTGTGGCTTTACTGTAGCGATCAGATCTGGTACTGTATCTAGTTTTGTAAAGAGTGAGTAAGATGACCATCAGGGCGTGTAAGTGTATGAATCGTGCGTGAGATCGTGTGTGTGGGGAGAGGGAACTCTTCGGTACAACAACCAGGCTCTGGACCTCCACAGTGGCCCAACTGGAGGAAACAACGGCGAGGGCATGCAGTGAGATTCAAAGCGAAAAGAGGCAGAAGATGCTAAGACTGTTGGTTGGGAGAGGGAAGTTGTTGTCTGCATGGACCAAGAGTAACTTAATACAACGTACCAGGTGGCGTGTGTTGCAAAAAATGCAGGCATGTACTCCGTATCAAGGGTAGAGAAAGCGGATTAAGTGCGTGCAGCAGGTTCAATAAGCTCGGGACACAACTAATACACAGGTCGATTCGGCAAACGCAACAACGGTTGAGACTAACGCGAGAATGATCAGATACCATAAGGGTACGCGTACCAACAGAGCGATTCGTCCGATATGGGGGATGGAGTGCAGGATTGGCCGAGGGGTGGTGGCCTGGTACTTGCTCGGGCCTAGGGGTGGTAGGGGGTAAAACGAGAAAAGCGAAAACCATGCGCGTGAGGAAGCCCAGAAAAAAAAATCTGCAGCGACCAACTTGGGCTTCCGACTCAGCCGGCGACGATCTGGGGTGTTGGATCTGAGGCGCCGAGAGAGGCAACAAGAGGATAAGATTGGGGCGGGAGTGTGGAAAGAGGAGGAGGAGCAGAAGAGAAAAGAGAAAACAAGGAGAAAGCCGAGGATCGGCGAAAAACTTTTCTCACGCTCCTCTCTCTTTTCTCGTGAGGGGAGTAAGAAGATTTAGAAGAAAAAAAAAAGGGCCCCATGAAGGAGCCAGAATCCACCGGACAAGACACCAAGACCCCCCCTCGTGCCGGGCATCAACTGGGTTACGAGAGAGAAGAAGTGGCACTTACCCACGAAGTAGCTCCGCTTGCGAGAGAATATACCGCATTAAACGGTCCCTGAAGATCGGGAGGGACCAACTCGAGTGGTAATCAACAGTGTAGAAGCGTCGCGATGATACGAGCGGGTGTTACTCGCACTCCGGGCAGTGGTAGCAGTACAAAGCAGTCAGACGGAGAACACAAACCCCCGGGGCGAGAACGCGTGAGCTTCCTGGCTGATTCCTTTATGTATTCTGGATCTTGGGGGGGAATCTGGGTAGGAGTCAAGAAGTTTGTAGGTCCAAGGACCATCTTATTCGAACTCTCTTGGTCGTGCTAGTCGTCGATTGTCTTGTTCCGCCTAGATACAGCGTCTCCCAAAGAGGGTGCGTATAGCATGGGCATGACCGGGCCCTTGGAACCTGGAGATGGCCATAATTTCTTTTGCTTGGGGGCCTTGTACTGTACAAAGCCCCGTTTCTGCACCAGCGTGATGCTTCCGGCCTACTGGTGCCCTCTGGAGCCTCACGATCGCGCTGTCCGACCAGGATGCTCATGATCGGGGCCAGGGTCCTGGCCTCACCGAGTGGAGAAGTGCTGTGCCATCCCTGCAACAAGGGATTGCTCGTTGCAGCTGGTGGTCCTCCAAGCTTCCCCAAGGGCCGTCCAGATGATCGACGAGCAGCCAATCCGACAATAGCCTAACGCACATGGAGACACGGCTCGCATACCGGTGTGCAGGGGTCGAGGCCTTGACTGCTTCTGGTGCCTTAGCGTGGCCAGCTCACGGCAGCTCGAACGGCGCCTTTGTTGTTGTCTCTTCTCTCGCCAGCTCCTCGACGGCTCAGGTTATCGCGGCCAATCAACGGCCTGGCTCCTGCGGCCACCCAAGTGCTGCACCATTTGCTGTGATTTGCCTCCCCTCCAGGCTCAAAAGGGGCCGCCGTCCGTCTGTGACGCCGTGAAGCTCGCTTCTGTTGCACAGCCCGGCGTTTCTCGATCTCTCTTTTTGACTCCCCCCCCCCTTCTTTGGCGTCTCCTGCTTCGCTCGGACGGGTATTTCTGGCTCCAGGCCCCGAGCCATCGCCACCCCCATCTTCTGCCCGTCTCTACCCTCTACTGTACCTCTATCTCGTCGTCTCCTCTGGTCTCTTCGCGCCCTCTCAGTCAAGTGCGGAGTCGGGTGGGTAACACAAACCAGGCGATTGGCCTCACGATCCTTTGCACTCAAGGCAGGGGTGGCCGTCGTCGCGCCAATCACAGGCATATCAGTCACAGAGTGGCCACTAACCTCAGCCGAATCAAGACCCCTGGTCCCTCTCCATCTCAAGCCCACCCCAAGAGAAAAGACACAAACATGGGAAATCCCATCGCCCCGTGATTATTCATCCTTCCCATTCCCATTCCATCTGCGAGAGAGCCTCACCTCACTTGCGAGTGGGACGCCGGAGTGCTCACTAAAAAAGAGCACGCACGACGGCCCCTTTCCCTTTGCCCACTTGGCTTGGACCTACAGTACGCAACTCCAACCGCGGCTTTCGGATCGGTCCCTTAATACTTAGTTCACTTTTACCTTGAGCCGTCAGTCACCAGGTCACCACAAGGCTGGCCGGGTTCTGCTGCCTCTTGTCCCGGGTCGCGGCCCACGGGAAGGCTACTCTAAGTCTCAGCCATCGTCCCTCCTGTTTGAATCTCGTCATCGTTTGTTAGCCCTCGGGTGGTGCTGCTGCTGCCAGTATTATATCGGCTTGTTGTCAGCGAGCGAGTGAGCCCGAGCGGGGCGATTGGAGAGCAAGCGATCGGCTCAATCAATCGTCAACGCTAGAGCTGGGGATCGGGCAGAGGTGAGGTTTCACTTCAGCCTCATGGCCTGATAGGGGAGAGCTCCCCTGGGACAGAAAAACTTCCTGGTTCTAGACTGTCTACTCTCCAGAGTGCCGAGTAGTATATCCCAGGCTAAAGCCTCCGTTTCTTCTCCAGAAGCCGGAAGTCCTGTAATACAGGTAGTGTCAACTCACACTATGCCGCCACTCAGCACCACACATGTCTTCAAGTTTGGACTTACCACGCCGCCTGCAACTGAGTCTCTGGAAACTCTGATTCTGGAGCACCTCGAATTGGCCGCTCACAAAGTCGAGCTGGCTGCGGGTGACTTATTCTCTGCCTCTGCCCCGTCGTCGGAGTCGTGCCCAGCCGGACCACAAGATGTCGCCGCTCTGGTGACCGAGATGGGAGACTACTTAGCCCGAACCGCCCTGATATGGTCCTCTCTCATTCAAAGTCTCATCCAGGGACCTCACATTGATCATGTTACTCTACAAATCCTCGAAAAGTCCCGAGCAGACACTCGGGTTTCAGACCTCGCCGCGTCCGTTTCCATGGACGTGACCCTCAGTCGCCTTCGGTATGTATATGTTGCTTCTTCTTCAACCGTTTCTGCCCTCCTTCCTTACCTTTTGCTTCCCCCCCTTGTCAACATGTAGGTATTGGCACAGACTAACCGTATCATGGCTATGGCGTGCAGTAAGATGCGCGACCTGGCAGAGCAGTACGCTCGAGACGTTCAAACAGTATGGACAGTTGGAGGCGGCAGGAGGTCGAGTCTGGCTTCACATGTGCCCCGGATGTCCATCTCGTCACACGACGGCCCCCCATCCGCTGCCCCATCGGTGACCTCATCGGCGACCTCGTTGGACATGCAAGAGGTGCCTGATGCGTTCTTGCGCGCACCTAAACGTCGCAAGCAACTTCCCGATGCCGCCGCTGTACCGCGTGAACGAGCGCCGGCGGTGCCACATCCACCACTGCCGCCGCTCCCGCTCTTACCGCCGGCTTCATCACTCTTATTGCCGCCCATCTTGTCGGATACCGCCGACTCAACAGGACCGCCGCTGAGCCACCCACCGCCGAGACCGCCGAAGCTATCAAGGGCTGCGGCGAGAAGAGAGGCCGAATCAAGGCCATTACTAATTTCAACGCCAATGGCCCCAATGCCAATAGCAGCAGCATCGGCCACGGCGTCTGAATCACCACCAACCCCTCCACCACCAGAAACTCCAGAGTCCGTAGCAACGCCGGCGTCCGACGCGACGGCAACTGGGGCAAACCCTCCCGAGCAAGATGAGTCAGACGACTACTCGGATGAGAATGAATTTGCCGGCATCAACATGAAGGCCTTGAAGCAACGAGGCAAGGGCAAATACTACTGCCCCAGGGGGCATCAGTGCGACAAAGGCGGAGTCGATAAACATGGCAACCTGATACTCTTCGATCGTAACTCATCTTTTGCGTATGTAGTCATCTCCCCATTCAGCGCGTGGCGCATGGCAGGCTCTCATTCCCTGCTTCCCTCTGCCTTTCCAGTATCCAACCCCAGGAATTTTGTTTTGGAAAGTCAAGGGGCCCTGCTCCCGAAAATAGGCGGAAGACGACCTGCGACGAGTGCTTCGGTGGACATGTTTGCTAACATCTCACACAGGCAACACTGTAACAAACATCGAAAGCCCTGGCGGTGTGATGTGCCTGGCTGTCCGAATCCTCCCAAGAAGCGTCGGTTTGCGCGCCGTGACGGGCTGGAACGTCACAAAGCCACAGTCAAGCATTACTTTATGACGTGAGTGGGAGAAGACTCCCTCCTCCTTGTGCAACCAGATTGGCTTACAAAACGCGTTATGCGTAGACAGATATGAAAATGACGTTCCATCTCAAGACCCTGAAGACACCGGGTGGGGAGGGGAAATGAACGTGCTGCAGGGATCGCACGATGGAATCAATCACAGGTGACGGGCGAAAAGCTGCCCGTCAGCTGCTGAGGTTCTGCAGAACAAGGCCAGCTGGGCCTGACGATCTCACAACGCGCCTCAACAACAAGTGTAAGCGCCTTCTCAAGGATCGGGTTCCGTCAGCTGGAGAAGGGACAGGACGCAGCACTGGCCAGAGCGGAGTCGAAACGAGTCGGTGAACCTGGCCTAGATGCCGTCCCCACGCCCACGGCTCTCCCCGAGTCCGCGCCTTGTTAGTCCCAACGCCATCCACAGGTGGATCGGGCTATCATTGCCCGTCTCTTAGCCCCCGATGTCACGGTACCCATCGTCCCCCGGTACACACTAATTTTGTCTTTTGCGCTATCAGGACTTGGTGGCTTGCGTCCAATTTGGTTCCCCCTGTTTTGCCAAGCAAGGGAGGGTTGGTTTTGTTGCGTTTCTTTTCTTTTTTCTTGGTGGCGCTATGTTCTTGCTTTGTTAGCACAGCATCGGAAAACGCAGCTCGCTCTGAGTGGCTAGATTATACGAGGATAACGATGACGACGAAGACGGAGTCAGGCTAACTGACTCAACTATCGGGTTTAATAACACACGGGACGGAATAAAAAGGAAGGGCAAGATAGCGGGCGTTTAGTTAATTCGAGGGGCGGGGCCACCCATGTACATGTTTCCGCATCCTGGAGAGCTGAACTCTGGGATCTGTCCATGACTTCTCTTTGTGGATATACTTTCCTAGAAAAAAGAGAGAGCTGATACGATCCATTGATCCTTAATGTTCCGCGATGATAACCGTAAGCCAGGGGGAAAACAAGGCGAGGCAGTTTTTTCCGGACCCGAATTGTGTATTCGCCCGACCAGGAGACTGATCGTTCAAGGTGGTAAACTGGCTAGGTTCCAGTGTTTCGAGTGTTAGTTGGAGGGACGGTTCCATTCATTGGGCTTCAACGCCCATGATGCCTGATGAACTGATGCCAGGTCGCTTGCCGTCGCTTCCCAATCCAAGGAGTGCACCTTGTCCTGGAAAGGGTTTGGCCGTACTCTAAGCCTCATACGGAGAGGGGAGAGAGCTTTCCAGAAAAAAAAAGCAAACATCGTGTAGCACATAGAGTGTCAGACAGCGGGCTGTACGAGTATGTACTCCGTAATCGTATCCCAAATTGTGCCCAATATTACCATCTGAGCCTCGTGTATTTCCTCCCAATCTCTCGTCTCAGGCCGAAAATCAGCAGGAAGTCTGCTGCTGCACTATCCCCGCTTCTCGCCCTTCAGACCAAGGTGTAACCATGCTTCAATGCCAACTATGCCCTTTCTCTTGATTAACTTACTTTGGCGCTCTCATATCATGAATCAGGTCACGCGGTGATGCACATTTCCACCCTGCATGAATCCTTGGGTTTTGCAAGGCATTCTTCTCTTGACCGGTCAATCTAAAACTGCTGACCGGTCAATGATGCCAGCCCTATCCAGCAAATGGGAGCAGAAGTACCCACCAACAGACGCACATGGTGCATGCGTGATGACAACAGGCCCCGCGAGCTCGGTGGATCTCGTGTAAATGTGTGTGAGCCGTGCCGGGAGTAGAGTACAGACACGAAAACTTCTCAGGCACTATTGCAACACACTATCAGAGGTCGAAAAAATAGCCGATAGACAACGTGGGGGGGGCAACGGACACCGAGTTCTCGGACTCTCTTCACGTGTGTCCTCCAGATCCACGAGACATGTACTGTTTGAAGAGCTGAATGCTCTCCAGTAAAGCAGATGCCCCATATCTGGCTTTGAGACCCGAAAGCCTAATAGTAGGTAGTACAGAGTACGTCCCGGAAAAAACTAGAAATCACAACGGCTAGCGGTTCTCTGCACTCTCTTCTAGCTTCAGCTGTCAGAATCAGTACTCATAGTCACAGCCTGGGATCAGATGATGACCACCTTCCAATTCTCTAATGCTTCTACGTGAGAAGCAATTAAGAGAGAAGTCTCTTTCTGACTGGTACCATCCTTGAAGGAATCGGTCAAGATGCTGGGAGAGTGAGTTGACCGAGAAGCTCTTCGCTGTCCCGCTTACCCCGAGGCGACGTATCGGAAAGTACGGATGCAGAACAGAGCCATGTTGGTCGTCATCCTGATCATAGACGTCGAGAAAGAACTATTCGTTAGAATAGTCAGAGTTTAGGAGTGATCAAACGGCCGCCGGTATGTATTAGATAATACATCGCAGGATCACTCGACTGCTGGCTGTGGCTACGGCAGTGCCATTTTATCATCGCCTGGAGTCTCGTCTGCCAAAGCGGCCACTCACCTGGATGCAACTAGTCAGCTAACAACGACCCGAAACAGTATACCACCACGGAGTAACGGACGACCCCTATCGAAAACCAACAGATTAGAAGATATAAAATTGGGACGAGGAGGGGAAATAGGGAGGGGGGACGCACTCAAGAAGGCAATGAACCAACGGAAGCACAAAGGCAGAGGCATTTACTCCATGTGATTGCCTCTAGATTCTGAGGTCAGACGTCCTGTCTATGGCATTGCGACCATGGTAACTCGGCATAGCTGACAGACGCTCATAACGAAGCTCACCAATAGGCCTTTTGGAAGGGTCAGCATCGACCACCTACAAATGACAAGCCATATCCAAAGCGTCGAGTTCCCTTGAAAAGAAAATATGGCGTCACCATGCAGATCAACGTCGAGACGTCGAGACGGGTTGACTGAGGAAAGCTAGAGCAACGCCAGTCGTCGAAGCTAGAGCACAACGAAACCTCGAGAGCTCGGGCTCTTCTTGTCTCTACTGGAGCACAACACCCCAATTGGAATAACCTCAAGTGTAGGGCGCAAGTTTTTTGCTCCGAGGGATGCAGCGAACCCACTTGTTGCGGTCGATGCCAAACCCAGCGTTGCCTCCATATTACCACACCTCCACGCCCTCTCTTGAGACGTCGAAACCTAAGCTGCTCGCGGTTTGGCACACCGCCACCTCGAGGCGTGTTAGCTGGCAGATTATATGCGCCTTCTCGTCACATTCAAAGTCAACATCGTGAAGTGGTTGTGGCACGTGGTTCGTCAACGGTGCGGCCCTAGAGTGCCATGACGATACCTGGGACGACGGCAGCAACGGCGAGAGCGAAATGGATGCCACCGGCTATCTTGATGGGTTGTCCTTGTTGTTCGTTCGCCAGAGTCTGCCGCGGATACGCTCTCTTTGTACGACATGAAGGGAATCTTTGGCAAAGCGGGCTGCAGGTGATGGCTAGCTCGCCGCGACATTGGATTCAGCCAGTCCGGGACGACGACGGCGTTTCTGCATTGACTGCGAGAGATGGAGCTAACAAGCAGCAGGTAAACGCTAGCGAGTGGCGCTCTTCTTGTCTTTTTCGTTACTGGTCCGCTGCGTGCCAGGCACAGCAGCCAACCCTTTAGCAAGAGAACGCACAGGTACCGGGTGGTGTCTATTTCCTCTTGATGGGGGGAGGGGGGGTATCGGCTCTGGAGCTGGACTCTCGGTCCCACGTCTGGTCGGCCGCGCAGGGAAAAGCTCACGTCGCACATACATATACTGACGCCCTCGACTTGCAGCTGCAGCGCGGATACCTGTTGGCTGCGATGCCTCCGTGAATTGCGAGCTCCGATACGCCATCCTCGGCCATTACAGGCACACCGGCCGGACCATGGCATCCCCTGCGACACTAAGGCCGTATCCGCAGCGAGGTGGAGGTACAAATACCATGCATGCCAGCCTGTGGAGCATCGTGGCAGACACGGCGAGCGGATAGCGGACAGGCCTGGCCTGGAAGAGGGGACAATGGGGCGGATGCTTTGCGCCTACGGTAGCATTAGGGCGATCGCCGGGGAGAGCGAGAAGAGAGATGTGGGCGTGGGCGTGGGCGTGGGGAAAAGAGAAAGGGGGGCGCGAGAGGAAGATTGGATTGGAAAAGAGAAAAGAGAGAAAACAAGAGGCTCGACAAGTTGACGTGACACGAAATAAACTACGGGTGCCTGATGCCTAAGGGATCAACCGCCATGTACCCCGTACCCACGATACCGATCCGATAACAGGAGAAGCGCTCCAAGGAGACACAGACCGATAACAACGGACAAGATATACACATACACGTATATACACACATCATACCTACATCAAATCTTTGGCCGGCAGAGGACAGGGGAAAGACAGGGTCTAGACAGAGGAGAATAGAGTTTTATATTTTGTACGTGTGGACATGGAATTGGAGCTCTGGGAGGAAATCTTGAACACTGATACTGACTGATCTTGTGTTGTTGTGTACATCAGCCAATGAATGACCAGGTGCCTCGCCACAGGTATACTGTACGGTACAACATCGGGCATGTGCCATTGAGCTCTCAACTGCTTCCAGGTCCTCAGATCCCAGGTCAGCATCAAATCTACATCCGAAGCTGTCAACATTCTGCTTAGCGTAGTTCAGATTGGCGTCTTTGATCGCGCGTAGCTCGGCATTGAGTCGCTGACTACCTCTCTGAGGAGGAGTTGTTCAAGGGTCTATTACAGGGAGCTTGGTGTGCCTGGTGCATGTACCTAGTAGTAGGTACATCCAATGTTTAGCAGAGGTACAGGTAGGTAAGATAGGTACTGCGCTGCATGGCCTAGGACGGAGTATGGAGTATGTACTGCCCAATTTACTAATCCCCAATTCGTCTGATACAGGGTAGTATAGTACTAATATGGAGTGCTGCTAAAGTTCAATTACGATACAGGTACCTGTACGCAGTCCTCCGTCCACCACCAGAATTGTACCTGCCTAGGCCCCTCTGAGGATCGATCGAAATGGATCTCTCTTTTTTCTCGTTTTTTTTTTTTTTTTTGCTTTTTCTCGTCACTTAGAGCGTCGTGTCTCTCCCAATTTCCTCCGCCCCGAGCTGCATGTGCTTTTGTCTCTCCTCAGCCTCTGTTTCTCCGGACCTCCTGTCACGTTGGGCTACCTTAGTATGCACTGAGACTACAAGTACATGTTGGAAGTGCTAACCACACGCCCCCTCCGGGTCTCGATTGGCAGCTCCAGCATCTTGTTCTCTCATCAACTCTTCATACCGATGCACAACGGCTGCTGCATCCGCCACCATCGTTGGCATGTCCTATCCATGGGTTGCCCTGCCCTGCCCTGTCCTTGTCCGGAGCCCCTGTCCTTTCCTACCAATCGATCTGTTGAAGAGCTGGCACCCGGTCATCCGCAACGGCCACAGCTTGCCTACACACTGAGGCGGTTCCCACACGATGGTTCTGGGCTCGCAAACAGTCCGTCCTTGATGCGTCGTCATACGTTTGTCGTACCACTTGCGTTTTCTCTCTCAATGCGGTCTACTTCTCGAGTTGTTTTCTCTTCCCCCTTCCATCCAGCCTGTATCCTTCACGGCGGCTGTTCTTCTTGCCACAGACTGGGGGGCGTGAACTTAACCCGAGCTACACCCCAACAGGAATACGCATCTTTTCTGTCTAATGATGAATGACTTGAACCCCCCAAACGGCCTCCAAGACCCAGATCCGCTAGGCTCCGGCAGCTGACAGACTTCACCGGGTGATATGACAGGGAGGACTAATGTACGGAGTACGTACAGTGCGTTACCTGGCCGGGGTGTTTCCGCGTGTGCTTCTTGGCCTTGCCTTGCCTTGCAATGCCCGTATCATTATTCGGTACTAGATGGCTTGGGGGTTAATATTTTTTCCCCTTCCTTTTTCCTGCACGCCGATCTATAACACGTCAATACCTTTAGTCGAAGTTATTAGGAGGCTCCCAAGTATAAAGTCTGACCATCCCCCTACTTTCATGAACTCGACGCAACACGCAACTCAAGGCAGTCTTTCATACAGACAAGAGCATCTTCTTATTTCTCAAGTTTCCCTCACCAATTCTATTTCATAAAAACTACTTTTGAAACAAGAAAAAAAGACAGACGAGGAGACAACCGTCTCATCCTCTTACATATCGCTGCTATCTTTGCCTCCTCAAGTTGTTGGTGTAGACACAGTCCGGCACTGTCTTATACACGATGCATATCGTCACGGGCTCAACCTCTCAGGCTTCAAAGCCAATGTCTACTCCCCCATCACCGAGGCAGGCACCAGACACTGAGCCAGCATCCCCGGCTTCGTCGGCCTCCTCCATCCAGAGTGATATGCCGTCAGTCTTGATTGTTGGCGCCGGAAATTTCGGCGCTGCAACGGCTCTGAGCCTTGCCAGGAGAGGTGGCTTCAAGGTCACGATTCTTGACACTGCTCCTTATCCAAACCCCAGAGCTGCCTCGCACGACATCAACAAGATTGTGCGAGATGACTATCCAGACAAGCTCTATATGCGGATGCTCATCAGGGCCATGCCCATGTGGCGTGCGGACAAGCTCTACAGCCCTTGGTACCACGAAGTCGGTATGCTCAGGGCCGATGCATCTGACTTTGGTGAAAAGAGCGTTGCCTCGTACAGGGCCGTTGGAGTTGCCAACGACGCCGAATTCCTGTCCGTCGACGAGGTGAGAGAACGCTGGAACGGCGTCTATGCCACAGCAAATTTCGGCAGCCTGGACAAGGTACTTTACAACCCCACGGTGGGGTATGCGGAGGCAGACAAGGCATTGCAGGCCGTCATGCAAGCTGCAGTCGACTTGGGTGTTGAGTACGTGGTTGGCGAGATGAAGTCGCTCGATCTCGGCGCTGACGGCCGGTGCGTGGGGATCGAGCTCGCCAATGGCGACACCCTGCGAGCGGACAAGGTGCTGCTTTGCACAGGCGCAAGGACTGGCTCTCTCCTGGCCCAGAGCGCTCCCGGGAACAAGGAGCTCCACATCGGTGACCGTCTGGTTGCAACAGGCGCCGTTAGCTTCTACTCCAAGCTGCAAGGCGAGCAGAAGGACAAGTTCGCCTGCATTCCCGTACTAAAGAACTGCCTCCCCGAGGTTAAAGGTGCGTTGTATCGACAAGTGTCTGGTTCCTCGACGGAGCTGGCTCCCCGCCCCTCTCCCCACTTTCAGCACCAGGATGAGCACGCTAGGATTCCCTTCCTTCAGCTGCTCGTACACGTACAGTACAGGCATATGGCAACAAGAAACAGTGGCTGACCATGATATGAGACACAGGCGAGGGCATGTCGATCCTCAAAGATGGGACAATCAAGTTCAACTGCGATATGTGCTTCACCAACTACGTGGATAACCCTGTTACGGGCGAGAAGATGTCCATGACACCCGAAGCATCGGATTACAACACGTGGACCGGCCCAGAGTTCGTTCCCTTCCTCAAGCAGTGTGCCAGGAAGACGTTTGATGGTCTGTATGGCAAGGAAGTTGAAAATCTCCCCATTGAGTCGTATCGTATTTGCTGGTAAGATAAGCCCCTTGTCTTCCTCTTGGGCTTTACCAACACACACTTACACAAGTACTCCAGGGATGCCTCTACACCGACTCATGACTTCCTTATTACGCCTCACCCTCACTGCGAAGGCTTGTACGTGGCCACAGGCGGCTCATTTCACGGTTGGAAGTTCTTGCCAGTGATTGGTGACTACATTGTTGATATGCTGCACGGCCTGCTTGGTGCGGACTATGCAGACCGATGGGCGTGGGACCCGAAAAGCGGTGATGGCCACTCTGCCAATCCGACCTATCAAGTTGTGGGAGATTTACAGCAATGGATTTCGTAGGCTCCAGAGCACGGGGCGAGTGCAGCACACAGTCACATTAGATTCATACCGGAAACGGCAGGGGATGAAGGCCGGGGGGGTTGACAGGGCGAGCAGAGCAAAAATGGACGGTTCGCTGAAGAAATGGTATACGCACGCATGGGTCGTGGCAGTAACTACTTGTACACGGATTTTCTTCTTTGGTTATTTAGTTTACTTTTATTTATGCTATCGATTTTTCTTCCAATTCGAAACACACATTGGGCCTCGTGCTTGGAGTATCGACTTGGAGATACGGCGCTTACATGGGAATCCATGGGAATCCTACCCTCCATCTCTCAGCAATTTTTATCCCTTTTCGTCTTTGGTTGCCTCGTTTCATACCTACTTCATAATTGACATTAAACGGCTTGAAGTCGTCATTCTCGGAAATTTTCAAAAAGACCGTAGCGAAAGACCGTGGGAGGGGCTCACATGGGACGGAATGCGGTGACACGGACTTCGCGGCATATGAGCACAGCAGCCAACCGCATGGATAGGGCTTCAGCCGCACCATAGAACCCCCCGCGATGTTTGGGATATGCTGGGTTGATACAGATCGGGGCCGGGAATCAAAGTCTGGTTGGCATTCTCCATAATCTGTTCAATGCGCATGAATGATGATTTCATCAATTCCCGAATGGACGGCGCTATTGATTGCTTTTCCTTTTTCTCGTCCGATAATCTTCGTCTACGGGGATCTTGCCAAGGGATTTGTGCCGGGAGGCCTGTCACTATTCACAATAAAAGACGGGACTGCCTGACTGACAGCCGTTGAGGCGCCCAGCCTAACCAAGGCGGCTATGACATGATGAGCGAAGGAGTCCCTTTCTAGCCTCGCCAGGAGGTGGTCTTTATTGGGGTAGCTGTTCTACTATTACTCGTACACCCTCTTCGTAGAGGGGCAGTGAGCCCTTGGCCAAGGCGTCCTGATATGGTGCGAATCACGAAGGCGTGGAGCTCAGACGGATAAAAGCTTGACACAGAGTTTTTTTTTTTTTTTCTTTTTCCCTTTGTCAACCAATGTCCTGAGCTAAAGCTTGAACTTGCTTTTTCTGACGTTCGGGGGGTTGATATTTTAGACTAAAGAGCTCATGTGGTGGAATATCCTTGGCTCGGATGCTGCTAGCGTTGAAATGTAAGACAAGACTTGTTCTTGTATTGGTTTGTGAATGGGGGAGGAGGGTTTCTGTTGTCTGGGCATCCAGATGGGGAAATTAAAATGGTTGACCGACAAGCTGAAGGACGCAGGGTGTAACCGTATTGACCTGTGTTACGAGTATGCCACTCGTCCGTACAAGTATGGCGGCTTTGGGTGGGATGGGGAGGGCAGGGGTATTTGGCGGTCTCGGTTAATTTTGTATATTTTCTTCTTCCTCGTTTTTTTTTCCTTTTTTTCGTTTGCTTGACTCAACACGCATAACGTGGAAAGCCTCCGTGCAGATATCGTAGCGTTGATGTGATCTCCCCCCCTTCTTTTCGGGGGCCATTTCCTAACCATTTTTGATTCATTGCCACTCTGAGCTGACCGTTGAACGAGACGATGCAGAAGCCATCAGGGATAGTGATGCATGTAGATACGGCGCATGCACGATTGTTCGATTATGGCAGTGGTAGTGCGTGATAATGACAAGTTGCATATAAGAGAAAGCGGCCTTCTCGGACTAATGCGTTTGATGACGCTCATCAGCATTGAAGAGGTACTGTACAGATGACAGTACACAAATGCAGAGTAACTACGGAGTCACATTCGTGCGTCTTGCTCCCTGCTGAAATGTTGTGTGCGCGTAAATTTTCAAGGCTATCCTGGACAATCCTCAGCCTTGATGGAGTGACGTACATGGATGTTTGCGTTACAAAGACCCTGATTAAATACCCAGTTTCCAAATGGCCAATAGCAGTGTGTGTATCGTCGGAGCTGCGTCCGCAGGTCATTTACTGACGTACGTATCCTTATGACAGATCCCCGGTGCTCGGTACCCTTCATTAGACGAATCACTTCAAGTAGATTACTTGTGAAACTTTTTGAAAAAGGCACGACGTGTGAGATTCTGCGATTACGGCAACGCAATGAATACATTTAGACTAGATTTCGAGTGAAATTGGACGCGTCAAGAAGTACTGAAAATAGAGAGGCAAGGTACAACCCCCCCTTGTTATCGATGTCCCGCGACGAGGAAATGAGCTCAATTAGACACGGAATAAATAAATGAGACCTTTTTTGTGCACGTTCTGATGCGTATACATGGCTTTTACTTGCACTCGCACAGTTTGGGAAATCCAAATGAAAAAGGTGGTGGTAGTACAAAAAGAAGAGAAGGGGTTCTTTTAGACGGCTGAACAAGACAAAGTCCTCTCCCCTAAATGCGTATTTCGGAAAGTGAAGCAAGCAAGAGTTTAATTGGATTAGATAGGGGATCAGGGACGGACCGCATATGATTGCCCCGAGGACCGAGGAGCCAATGAGGCGGATGATGGCAAGGTCTTCCTCCGGCCATGGTGCAAGATTACGGAACCATCCATATACCGCTGAGATGGAGACCATGGGATTTCTTTGCTTTCCATATAATGGTGCGTGTTCTCTCATTTATAGTCCCACACCAGCTAATGGCGTTATCTTGGGGGTGCAAAAAGTTCTACTGCAACTACATGACCCTACAGATGGTGGTTTGTAATTCTGCATGATATATGCCGTGTCTAGGGGGTCACATGTAGTCTTGAACGTTCTGGTGTTTGTCCACATGAGATCCTTGTCCTAGTTCCTCCAACCACCACTTTGACACAGAGTACAAAGATGCACTCGGTTAGGTACAATGAAGTGATATATCACATGTCGTGGGGTTTCCGTGCTCAAGCCAGCTGAGCAGGACGTCATTCGAGGCATAGCCTGCATTATGGATGCCCCAATTCCATTCCTTCATCCGCCGCAGCCGCATAATCTCGGATACCCTCGTGGTAAGACTAGCATGATGCTGTACCGCTGCCGGGTGTGAGAATATGAGCAAGAGTAGGCTCACTCCGGAGCAATATGTCCATGGTACATACACTGAGAAGTCGAGACTAGATCTTAAGCATACGCCCCTACTTGTTGGGTCTGTAACTACGACGGAGATGCTGATTCCTGGATGAGGCGAGTCATTGGAGCTACATGACCATGTTGGAACATACTCTCTTCAATTCACATGCTTCAACCTGGGTACCTCGCCGTTGATCTGATCACTTGAAGCACTTGCTATTAGACACGAGTCCAATATCTTGTTGTTTATATATCCAGTAAACTACTGATAAACTTAACTCGATGCTGAGCTACAACCTCTGCAGGCTAGGCCGGATAAAATGCATGATACTGCATGGATCAATGACACAAGAGACAAAAGACAACATGTATAGAACGTTACGGGAGCGACACATTAGACTAGAAAGCGAGATTGTGCAGTTACTAGAGTGGACCAGCTTGAACCAGATATGTTGGGAAAATGAACGCAAGGATCAAGGTTCACACATAATACACCGCCCTACATTAACTCAAATGCTGCTAATGTTTTGCAGAAATGATAGGCCAGGAATAACTCAAGAGGACCCCAGGCTGAAGCCACATGAGCCAAATATAGACCTAAGACATGAGGCGAAGGCCAGGTAGGTATTTTGAAGGAGTGGGACAAAAGGGAAGGGGAAGGGGGTTGTTTACATGATGATTAAAATAGCACTAGAGAGGAGACACGGCTCTTTAGTTTCACCGGCTTATAGTTTGCTTCTCACCCCTCTCCTAGTGAAGTTGCTAAGAAGTCATCTGTAAGTTGGTGTGTGTTTGAGGCGAATAATCTAAGTAAAACGATAGAACGGCCTTAATTAGACGACACTTGCATCTAGATGGGCAGGGAGTAAGTGTATTAATCACGGTGTGGTGCTGAATGCTGGATACAAAGCCAGGTAGATCCCAACCCAGCTGAACAACTGCGGAGTCATTTATATGAGGCTGTCGGTCTAGAAGGGTCCAGGTGCTTGATACCCGCTCCCGATCTCGACGTTGTCCGATCGCCCGGGAGATCGCCGTTTTGTGCATCGGGGTGGAAATGCGGTGAGTTTCCCCTGGAAAATGGGATCCATTAGAAACCGGTTATTTTTTGCAAACTAGAAGATGTCTCATTCATCCCTGATGTGATTTCTATGATCTACTTTTCATCTAGATAAGGTACGTAAAAGGCTTTCCTGGGTGGAGCAATTCTCCTCATAGACGGCTTGAGACATTAACACAACCCAAACGTGTGTATCATTGTAGCAGTTTGCATAATAATATACCATGAACATAGACTCATATTCAACACAGGTATGCATAGGATAAATTGCCGTAAACCCTGTGCGCACTCCTTTGCCTCAATCAAGAGACGGTGTCTCCAGCTAAGGTTCTGTGCAATGCTAACTATAGGGACTTGTTCGATGCTGACAATTTGGTTTACTTGTGTTGAAAATTTTAATTTACAAGGAATGAGGCGGACGGCAAGAGACTGGCTGAGGGACTCAGATCACGATGTCAAGATTGTGATCCTGGAAAGTCTCGACGTGGATCGTCGCAAGATAACCATAAAGAGACGGGAAGAGAGGCAACGAAGAGAGCATTGCTTGTCAAGCGCATAGACACACGAATGCCACCAGGAGACTGTAATCAGAAGAAACAGGGCAAATCTGTCAGTCTACGAAGTCTGCCATGATTTGGTACTGAGCCTTCGGTTATTATTCCTGAGAAATCCACATCCAGGAGAAGGAAATGTTATAACTGTGCAAGCCTGTTTCGCAGCCTTGCTTAACTGTTCCTCCATTTCGGATGCCATAATGCTTGGAAAGCATGGGAGGTGCTTCATTAGACGAAAAAGTCACCGTGTATCTTTCGTAGATATTGGGGTATCTGCTACTAGATCTCTCAAATACCTCTACTTGCTCCTACTATTGCTGCTTTCTCCCACTATTGTGGCTTTCTCTTAGTAGGCTACTATAGATATGTTTCCCTGATATCTCGTACTATCACCAAGGTAATGGGTAACGTTAATCCTGTGTCACAAGATGCTGGATAGCCAACTTGGGTTGCTGAATGGTCACTCCTGATTTATATCTTGCAACACTGTAGGTCGCCGTGTTTCTCTTTCTCACTGAAAATGGTTGTTGACAGCCTACAAGAGAGGTTCCTTTGCGGTAAGCTATGAGTATTCTATCAACTTACATTCTGGGAATAGGTTTTAGATATTCTGTATGACATGAAAAATGACGTGCCCAGTGCCCAATTTACGTAGGATTTTCAGCGTTGTATCGTCCTGCTGTAAGATTTTGACGTCGATGCAACACCATCTCGGAGGTTTGGAGAAGGCGGGCCGAGGTGGTTCGAGCATGTAACTTGCCACAGAGAGTCGAGCCAATGAAAGGGCATCTCTTTCAGGCTTCCTTCGCACTTTTTACGCAGCATTATCACAATAAGAGTGCGTCTTTTGTTTCGAGTACGAGGCCGGTCTAATGATGGCCCAGTTGGCAATGACAGGATACAGCACGTTCCCATCTTACGTGCCTGTGGACATTCGAAGAAGCCCTCATGAATCGGAGGACTGCAGGGTAAGAAATAAGCCGCGCCGATTTGCAAGACTTCAACGCGTCTTTGTTACATTGAAGTTAATAAAATTAAAGGTTTTCATTTATCTTTTCGCCTCCGGCTGGTTGATATGATTGACTACGGACCCATAGCGGGCCGCGTTTGTGGGATAAAGGAATCGAGAAAAGATCAGCATACGGAAACTGACCATCCGCACATATCTCCCATATTAAACTCATATAGAATGGTGAGCGTATTATTTTCATGTTTGTGTATATTCATTTTGCGAGGTCTGTTCTTCCACGAACCGCTTGCGTGCCTGGATCAAGTGGCCGCTGCAGCGCCGAAGATCTCGCTATCCCGCGCCTTTTTGATGTAGAGAAAAGCAGCAAATGGGCGAATCAACAGGACGATACCGGGGCTTATCTACAAAATCGATTACTTCTTACACTATCATCGGAATTTATCTCTTAACAATTGCGGTTCGCGCGCTGAAGTATTGAAGTATCTTGCTCGCCAGTCTTGTATTTAAGGAGTTGACGGCCCTGCCTGTGTCCTTGTCCCTACATTTTGTCGCTTGTACAAACTGACTCTTCTTTCATTTAGTCACCGTTTTATACACATCTATTTATTTCAAGTATTGCAGGATCCCCAAGTCATCATGGCTCCGACCATTCTGATTATCGGTGCTACCGGTAACACCGGCAAAGGCGTTGTCCGTGGCCTTCCCGCGCTACTCAAATCAAGCAGCACCAAGTACCGCGTCGTTGCTCTCACCCGATCCTTGAACAACTCAGTGTCCAAGCAACTTGCTGCAGAGGTGGACGGTGTCGAGTGGCTAGAGAAGGATTGGTCCGATATTGACGTTGAATGGCTCAAGAACCAGGAGGTAGTTCGAGTTTTTATTGCGCCGCACACCTTGCCTCACCAGTTTGCGGATGAGTCCAGCCTTTGCCTAGCTCTGCTACAGGCTGGCGTCAAGTATGCTGTTCGGATATCGACCTTTGTGGAAATTGTTTCTCCCACAAGTCCCACGCCATATGGCCGCTCACACTGGGCAATCGAGAACCTGTTGAGTCAGCCACAGTTCAAAGAGCTGCAGTGGACATCACTTCAGCCGAATTTCTTTACCCAGCACTGGCTAGGCCCTGCTATTGGCTTCATTGCAGAGTATAAGCAAACAGGGAAACAGGGAGTGCTCCCTGTGCTTTCGTCGGAAGATTCTCCTGCGGGATTGATTGACCCTGAGGACATTGGGGCTGTTGCCGCACATCTTCTGGCTCTCGATGATGTGTCACCCCACAATCATGGCAAGTATGTTCTCCACGGTCCTGAGGATGTTACCGGAAGAGATATTGTCAAGACAGTCGAGGACTACATTGGTGAGAAGGTCGAGAATGTGACCTACTCCGCAAAAGACACTTATTTCAACGCCATCAGGAGTATGGGTATTCCTGATAAGCTGGCTCCTGCTATGTTTACTGCTGTTGAGGCCCTATGGGCAGGAAAGTGTTCACGCGACTATCACCAACCTAGCAAAGAGGTCACAGCACTGGCACCCCCTAAAACTACAACTGCGGAGGCGCTTAAGGCTATGCTGACAGGATTTCCATAGTGGTTGTAAATAGCATACAATGTGGTATATAAAATGATATGATTCTGGTGTTTCTCACGGGACTTCTTATTCAGAATCGCGGAAGAAGGGTAATTGTTGGGCGGTTGGGTCTGCATAGAGCTGTGACTACATAGGTTTGTCCATTTCTTCCATCAACAAAGTTGTGGCTCTTATCTCTTCTTGATAGGTTCTGGACTTGAAACAATTCACGTACCTGAATTAAGCATCTGGAGGGCTCATGCAACTCTAGTTGGAGTTGGGAAGGCATGCATCTTCAGGACGCCTAACGCTATCGTTGATCTCATAGAATCTCTCATATGATGGCATGAACAGCTTCTTGGAAACAATATACTACAGAATACAGGGCCAAAAACCACTTATCTGATTCCTTTTGTACCTTACCTCAGGCCTTATAGTCATCTGCCATTGCGTCGCGTCGCAGCTCTCTCGATGCATCTCAGCGATTTTGAATAGCCCCGACTGGGTTGCGTTATGTTTTCTTGATTCCTCCAGTTTTCCAGTCTGTTAAAGAAACTGGCTGATCATCAATCATAGTCAGTAAAGAGAGTTGGTTGACAACTCGATTAATCAACTACTCGCATGCCCTAGAATTGCTGTATCCCAACTGGAGTCATCAGTTGATCAACTCAATATGCGGACGTGTCATAGGCTGGGGTGGCGGGTTTATAGTAGCGGATTAGCGCATCCAGGTCTCAGTTTAAGAGCGTGCAGCTTTCAAACAATGTCGCACATTGCCATCCTTTCAATTACGGGGCTATCCTTGCATACTGACAGATTCCTCATATAATTACTCGTGCACACAATACATCATCTCCCTTACTCCGCATACTATCGGGATAGCTTCCGTGGACTTTATTTAGCATTTCCGGCATTGTTGACGGAATGATAAGGGGGCAGCTTACATGCTGACCTCTTATCTGTGGCCAAAGGGCGATGGCGTGCGAGCTCCTTGCACTCGCGCCATGGAATTTGGGTGTCGCGGAAGCTGGCTTTGTCTGCCTTATTAATCGAGCCAATCGCGCAATAAAGTATCTGGCTGACGAGGGCGCGTCTTGTGTGCGTGTCACGCTGGCCCTTGATGGGCATGGGAGCCTCGGATGACCTGGGAGTGTGTGCGTGCGTTTCATCCTCCGTTGATTTTGATTTGATATCTGGGCCTGCGATTATGGCTCTGGGTAGCAATGGCGTTTTCGATGAACCAAACCAAGCAGGCCATTGGGCAGTGGCAACTCTGTCTTTGTGCCCGATAAGCAGACTATGAAAAGAGAGTTTCCTTTGTGCCCTTGCGATATATACAGGTACTTCGGCAACAGGGCAACCTTGAACATTACTACAAGCTCCGTGTCGAAAGCTACATACGTCGCCAAGCACATCATACATCATGGCGGGCCGTGATAGTGATGCTGATCACGGAGAACAGCAGCCGCTGCTTCAGAGCTCTCCAAGTCCTTTGTCCTCAGGACCAGACGATAACAAATATGACACCAGAGCGACGCTGAGCGAAACAGAAAACGCCGCTGGCGATGTTCATCCGTCTCGGGCCATCGAAGATGATGTGCTACCGGAGACATCTACTCTCGGCCGAACATTAAGCTGGCAAAGCGCCTACATCATTGTAATATCCAGAGTCATCGGCAGCGGCATATTCGCGACGCCTGGAGCCATCCTTCAGTCGGTAGGCAGTCCTGGCCTGGCACTACTGTTATGGATTGTCGGTACATTTGTTGCAGCCGCCGGTCTGGCCGTGTCACTCGAGTACGGCTGCATGCTGCCGCGATCCGGAGGCGTCAAAGTCTATCTCGAGTTTACATATAGGCATCCGCGACTTTTTGCTACGACGCAAGTCGCCATCAATGCCATTTTCCTGGGATTCACGGCTAGCAACTGCGTCATCTTTAGTCGTTATGTGCTCTTTGCATTTGGCGTGGAAAATGCGAGCGCCTTTGTTGGTAAAGGGTTGGCCGTTCTCCTCCTCGTCGCAGTGACGGTCATCCACGCCGTGACTCCAAAAGCAGGCATCAAGATACAGGACTTCCTTGGCTGGATCAAGGTCGGGATTATCGTCTTCATGATTTTTGCTGGTCTCTACGTTGTGGTGTTCCAGCCAACGCTGGATATCTCGGTACAGCAAAAGAATCCATTATCATGGGACCATCTATGGGATAACAGTGTTTGGAACTGGGGCGTCATGTCAACGTCGCTATTCAAAGTGTTTTACGCATACGCAGGACTGGATAATGTGAGCAACGTGCTGAATGAGGTTAAGGATCCCGTGCGGACTCTGCGTTCTGTAACGCTGACTGCCTTGGTCACTTCTTGTGCCATGTATACCCTCATCAACTTGGCATACTTTATCGTTGTCCCCATTGATGAAATCAAGGGGAGCGGCGAGCTCATTGCAGCTCTCTTTTTCCAGCGCTTATTTGGCGAGCAAGTGGGTAGAAAGATCTTGACCCTGGCCGTTGCCCTTTCAGCAGTGGGAAATGTTTTTGTTGTTGCATTTGCAATGGTAAGTTCAGTCACAATGGCATTTTGTGAACCTTTGCTGACGACTTGTATTAGGCGCGATTAAAGCAAGAGATTGCTCGGCAGGGTTTTCTTCCCTTTTCCGATATCTTTGCTTCGACGAAGCCTTTCAACTCACCATTAGGTGGCCTCATCGTCAACTTCATACCTTCATTCCTTGTCATTGTGCTACCGCCCACGAACGAGGTATATTCCTTCATCCTCGAAGTGGAGGGTTACCCTGGCCAGGTCTTTACCCTCGCCATGGGATTTGGCCTTGTGTGGCTACGATATAAACGACCGGACCTCAAGAGGCCCTATAAAGCATGGTTACCTGCTGTTATACTACGAATCATTCTGAGCATTGCGTTGCTTGCTGCCCCGTTCTTCCCTCCCAAAGAGAAGCCCTCTGGAGGACTTTGGTATGCAACTTATGCAGTGGTAGGGATGGGCACGTATGTTATCACCTTTCCTACTCGAGCTTGTTGATGAACTGACACTGACTTTTGCCCTATCTCATTAGGATCGTGGGTGGCGTCCTATATTGGTATGTCTGGACTATTCTTCTGCCAAAGTGGGGAGGTTACAAGTTGGAAGAGAAGAGCGAAGTGCTTGATGACGGAACATCTATTACAAAGCTCGTGCATAGCTACGAATGATCTAAGCTGAGCATGTTTCTATTCACGACATCTACTAGATTGGGTTATTTTACATTCATAAAAACCAAAAAGCTCCGTATTTTTAGGTTCTGCGTGGTAAGCAGAGCTCGAGCTTGAGAGCTATCTCATGATTTGGAGGCTATTTGGTTTATCGCATAGCGTTGAATTGTTACAAATTGGGTACATGTACACTGTTTACTTGTCATGATATTGTATTTTTAATACCAAATTCATAACTTCATTTTCAGGATTTTCCGCAATTCCGCAGATGCTGCTCCATGGCGATGATTCATCAATCCGTCCGTCAATCACACATTGACAGTTGGTTGTCGCTTACAACGCGTCAGCCGTAGGAGCACGAGTTCGGAGTAGTTAAAAATGTCAAGACGGATCAAACTCTAACTGAGCTATCACATTAAGGCCCAATTCATGATCTTGGCTGCAGTCCCCGCTCCTTCGCGCTCCTTCAGGCAATGTTAAACGCGAGACTCGCAGATACAGATTTCAAATCAATCCGCTTACCTCGGAATAAAGAGCTGAGGGGAAGGGCGTGTCAACTCCTGATTATGACGTTGCGTTTCTATTGGATTGGATGTTGGATGTATACGCCTAGGTGGATTATCAATCCCTTCTGATGATGGGTGGTAGAGAAATGGCGTGCTCGCGGGGAACGCTTGCAAGGTCCGATGGCATATATATACAGTGCAGGGCGTATGGGCTTCTATGGTGTATTGTAAATCGGTGTATACGTACATACTCTCTCACCTTGAAAACAATAAATTGAAATAACGGCTTCTATACTTGATTTAAAAAGCCATATATACTAGAGGGAGAAACCATGGCAGCTGCCGCAGTTCAGAGTGCTATCCCCAGCTCTAGCTTCAACTCTGTTCAAGGAATCCAATTCCAGCCACAGCTTGATCAACAAACGACCTACAAGAGCATTCCCAAGCACGACGTAAATACCATTCTCAACTTTTTCAAGGACAACGAAGACGGCTCCCCTCCAGAGCCGACGTACGTTGGAAAGCCCGAGACGTATACCAACCGGCCGATTGCGTCGCATCAGGTAACCATCCGAGACGTTGCGGGAGAAGAGGACAAGTACACTCTCGACAAGAGCGGATTTCAATTTCATCGCCATACTTCGATTGAGAAGGATTTCCTGGATGATGACCAGATCAAAGCAAAATATTATCCGGAGACAGAGCAACTCCTCAAGGATGTGTAAGCCGACTTCTACGTCACCGTGCCTATTCTTCTATTTATTCCCCTTTCACGCTGACATTTGGCATATAGAACCGGAGCATCCAAAATCTTCATCTTTGATCATACCATCCGCCGTCACAACCCCGACAACAACACTAGTGGCACGACGGATGCAGCCCTTCGTGGCCCTGTCCAACGGGTCCATATCGATCAGTCTTACACCGCGGCAGCCTCCCGCGTTCCGTTTCACCTTCCTGAGGAAGCAGAAGAGCTTTCAAAAGGACGCGTGCAGATCATCAACGTTTGGCGTCCGATCACACAGGTTCAGAGGGATCCCTTGGCAGTTGCTGAGGCAGACTCGGTTGTGGAGGAGGACCTCGTGCCAATTGGTTTGATCTATCCTAACCGTAATGGAGAGACGCTCAGCGTGAGGTACAACGAAGGGCACAAGTGGTTCTACAAGTCTGGCTTGACGCCTGAGGAGGTCCTCCTCATCAAGTGCTTTGACAGCAAGACGGACGGACGAGCACGACGAGTGCCGCATACAGCATTTGTAGACACGACTTCACCTGCAAGTGCGCCAACGCGGGAGAGTATCGAGGTTCGAGCGCTGGTTTTCCATCCAGATGACAGGGAATAGACAGATGTAAGATGATGGTTTGATGAATGATTTGAGATTCACGATGTGGTTTCATGTAAATGTATGCAAGGCAAGACTGAAAGGCTTCAATTGGATGGAAGACCATCTATTAGTGAAATATATATGTACTCTACACTGATCAGACAGCTAAAACATCTGACACATACTGATCAAAAGATTATCTTTCAGGTTCTATGTTTAGAGCCCTGCTCATGACATAACCCGCAGCAAGCAAGGAGAAGGCAAACATTGCGTGTTAGTATTACTTGTTCTTGCCGCATCAGTATCGGAAATAAGGCTGCACAGGATGTGTGTATGAACTAATGTATGCACTCTGCACTCTGCACTCTATATCATGTATACGCCCCCGTTCAATCATCAAATGTGAATGCATGTACGAGTATGCCAACAAGCAGCTCAACGGCGTATGTACCGGAACAGAGGCGAGGCGGTGGAGGTCCGGAGGCGGGATTCAACTCCCCCGGGAGGTTTGCGAATCACGGCAAGGGCCCGCCTCCGCTATGGGGCGAGTTGACAAGCAGCAGCACGGAGAGTACAAGTACAAGTGATGGTAAGGGCGGTGATGCTAGGCGGTAAGGAAAGCGTTTGAATGTCAAAGGCCGACTGAGGACGCACAGGACGATGCATGCAACCCTAAGGTATGAGGAGGGAGGGCTGCTTACATGGATGGTGGTACAAGGCAGGCATCTTGGTTTGGCTGGTGCCCAGTTGTAGAGCTGATCGATCATGTCTAGACACAGCCCGAGTTTATTTGTATTCAACCGCCTGTCTTTGCAACTGTAAGATTGATGCTTTTAGCGGTTAATAAAGGCTGCTACACTAATAACTCTAGTTCGTGTCCTGGATCATAGGCTACGAAGCTCTCCCGTCCCTGTGCCTGGTGCCTTTTTATTCCCGCTCCCAGCCATCTCATTTTTAGCTGTCGAATAGAGGATCACACACACGAACCAGAGAGCTGCCAGCCACCTCGAAGCAGCTATACCGCCCTCTAATAATATCCATCATGGCCCCTCATCGTGCTTTTCCCAGGACTTGTGCTAACAGCCCGGCTTGATGGTTGCTGCAACGCGCGCACTTGCATGGCCAAGTACGTACATGAGCTGTCGCATCGGCTTCTAACAATTGCTCCTCTTTTATCTTCCAAGGTTCTCCTTCTTTTCACTTGTCACATCTCTTACGCACGAGTTCAGTTCAGGCGGTGGGAATCAATAGTCTCACCAGAACCATCGCACGTCGAACGAAGCCTTCTCAACGGCTTCCCCCTGGTTCACGCCGCCAAAAACTGACGCACATGCAAGGGGAGGCCTGAACAAGATTCATTCGACCGACATTCCTCGACCAGACTCATCAATCAGTGCTCGACACGCTTCTTCCACCGGTGGGGGCTTGGGCTCGTGCACCGCAGCTGGTTGGGCGCTCAAGGTCGCAGCAGCAAGGCCAAGCAGACCTAGACCCAGGCTTTTGGGGGGGGGAAACCCGCATCGAGGGCCCGGCATCCGACAGACAGGGCGGCTGGGGCTTTCTCTTGTGATCGCCTTGTGGTCTCTTTTGCCTTGTACCGGTACATGCTGGAGAGACGGAGGGGGGCATCAGACGGACAGTCATCAAGGACGCGGGACAAGGACCAGACGAGAAAAGCGGTAGCTCCGCCGTCGTGCATCAACTCACCTATCGGAACCAACGAGGCGACAGAGCAAGTCAGCTGTGGCCCCTGGGAGCTGAGTCTTGCTCGTTATATACCGACATCTCGTTCCAACGATACTTGAACCATAGACGAAGCGACAGACACCTGCAGACATAGCCATTGACCTTTCGAAATCCGTCCACGCAATCAGCCAACGATCAAGACCTCGTCCCCCGCTATCCTCGATACGCAGCAAGAGACGATTATACATCCACAATCAGGAGAGGTTGACACGAAACGCCTAGAGAGCGTGAGCTTATAGGTGGGAGGCAGAGAACAACCGCAACGAGCACGAGTACGGGCCGTAGCAACGCCAACCTCCAATCATCATGATGGCGGGATCACGCTCAATGCTGAGCGGCACCTCTGTCGTCTACGAGCGCAAGGTCGTGACGACTCACATCCGAACCTACAACTGGCCGCCTCTGCAGCTCAATTTCTGGATCTTCGTCATGCTGCTCTGCTCTGCCACCATCATCGGCGTCTTCGGAAGCTTCATCCAGATCCAGAACCAGCTCGAGCTGCCTATTCCTTGGTATGGCTTGCTGCAGTCTGCCCTCCTCCGTTAACGAAGCAATTGTCCACTAACGTTCAGTTGCCCAATAGGTATTTCCCCTACTTCATCACCGTCGGCGCCATTGCGATCCTCTTCATATTCGGCGTCTTCTGGCTAATCGCCCAACGTCGACTGCTCCCCGCCATCGTCATGATTGGCGCCTTTATGCTCTTCGTCCTGTGGATCGTCGGCCTCGTCGTCGTCTCGCTCGAGCTCTGGGGGCCCAACGGATCCATTCAGAGCACTTGCGATTCGAACGTGTTCAACCAGAATCCAAAGGGTCGGACGCAGGAGACGCTGGCGTGGCTGCAGCAGAAGATGATCTGCCAGTGCTGGGACCTGGTCTTTGCCATGGCCTTGACGGGAGGCGTCTTTCTGTTCTGGGTCATGATTATGGCTTACCAGGTGTTTGCCAGGTCATGACACTGATGCCAAATGAAGAAGGGACAGGAATGAGAAGCAAAGAACATAAAGAAAAGAAAGAACGACGATCGATTTTATATTCTCCGTTTTGTATCAAAGCAAGCACAATGATGCAAGCTTGGTCTTTCACGCCAAGAAGTGGCCAATAGCGAAGCCGAGTTGTTTAAGCTTCAATCTTTATTGGCGGACGATCATTTGGTATGGACGAATGGAACAAGACATGCATATTTCATGAGAGACGGCGATATTATCGTGTCTCATGCTGACGCCATGATGGATGCCGTATGGATATTTCTGGATGTTGGATGATTCTGATGAACGTTTTAACGTTTACATGCATTACGAGCGGGCGTTGGAATTTGTATTTTTTGCTCGGCTGGAGCTCTTGGTTTGCGCTTTGACACATTACTATGGCGGGTAGATTTATTCTTGATGGATGGGAGGGCATTATAATGGATTGTTATACATGGGTGAGGTTAGCTGTAATAGATGCAATGGGCCATCCACCGAGCTGCGGAGAGCAGTAATATGAATTTAAAATCCGATGCGAACATAAATTGACCAATCAATCCTAGCAAACCTCGTTGAAATGTTTTGCAGCAGCATATTATATTGGTGCAAGCGGCTGCAATGGCTTTTTTTTTGTCGCGAGGTGGTGGTCGTATACCCATGACATGGAGTTTACTGATTCCTTTTACCATCACAGGCTTCTTCTTCTTCTTGTATCTAAAAATACATATGCCCATAGAACTAGTCTTCCCTCTTATCGTAAGATTATGATGCCGAATAGCTGATCGATTCAACCTCTCAACATCTCCGAAACTTGGCGGAGAGAAGACAGTGCAGATCCGCATAAAGCTATGATGCAAGATCGGCATCAGAGCCACAACCGTAGCATCTCTAGTGTCTCTTCCTGGGGCCCCGATTTTCCCAATAAGCTTCCACCTAGTTGGACAATCCGTGTCGTTCCATCACATGCAGATAACTTGGTTAACACGCTATGACGTACGCAACAATGAGAGAGCAGCATCACCGCCATGCCATGATTCGATGCGCGGAACGAGGCACAAGCTCTGAAGTGGCCGCTCCGTCATATTTCCAGGTACCCAGGATTTTCAATGCCGTCAGCCATGGCTGCGATTGATGATGGCGATTGGTTGCCGTGAATAAGCCACGGAGGGGGGGGGAAGAGGATATATAAATGAGCCAGATGCTCCCCTCGAATCTACCGTTGAATCTACATCTCTACAATCAATCTCTCACTCTCAATCTAAATTCTTAAAGCTATTATTCGAAGCACTTCAATCTACTTTTCACAATGGATTTCGTCAACAAGGCTATGGGCAAGGAGCACTCCACTCAGGGAACCGCTCCCGCTGCTCCCCAGGCAGGCGGCCAGGTCCAAAAGGACGATTACGTCGACAAGGGTAAGCCATCTCCCCTCTCGGAATTTCATCATCTCATTCCCTTTCCCTTGATGAATGATTCAGGAATACTGCTAACACCAGGTGTTTTGGGCGTTAGCTTTCTCCATGGGCGCCAAGAAGAGCGGCCACAACATGGATCGCAACACCCAGGAGAAGATTACGGATGCCGGCCGTAACATGTACGAAAAGGTGACAGGGTAAGCAACATACTTAACATAAATGTCGAGACTCCAGCTTGCATGTACCATGTACTAATGTTGTATCCACGATTTAGATCAAAGGTTGACCCCAAGTGGTCCAATTAATGAACGGACGAGTTATGATTTACAACAAGACTGTACAATAGTAATAATAACACTAAATCAATGCCACCTTCTACTGGTCACAATGACCTTTGAGCGATTCGTCTCGCAAGTGAAACGCAATACGATTTCATCAAAAAGTGATTATCCATTTGTATCATGAGTAGTTCCACTCTCGCTCCATCTATCATACAACAAAACGCCATACCATCGTGAAAATCCTAATTCTGCATCATAATAGCGCCAGACCTCGCATCTTCGTCCTCGGCGTCTCCATCATCATCCGTCATCCTGCCCAGCATCTGCCCATATGTCGGTCGGAACGGCCATCTCATCCACGCCTCCAACATCTCGGTCCACTGCCCTTCATTGATGCCTCTTGCGCTTAACGATCCATGCCCCGTCATCGGTACTCCCCCACGCGTGGCATCTCTCAAACTCGGCACCTCTGAAAACAGATCGCTGAAACCGGGCCACAAGCTTTCCATCGCCTTGTCTACTGGCTGGAGTGACATGCTCCACCACGACCGCAGCATAATGTCCGAAATGTCACCTGCGTGGTTGCTGTTGGGGCCGATTTGACGGAGCAGGGGGTGCGTGGCCTTGGGCTGGATGTCCAAGAGGGCCGTTGGCGAGTTTGGGAAGAACTCGTCTGGCATGGCTCTGAGTGGCTCATATTCTCGGCGGTCCCAGAGCAAGGCAGGGGGGCTTTGGCGAAATAGATGGTAGCCATCTCTCAAGACGTTGAATTCCATTCGCTGGTTCTTCTTCAGATTGTCAATCTTCTCGTTCCAGGCTTCGTTGGCTTCCACAAACGCGCTCGTGTCATCTGCCCCCATGGTTGATATCCTCTCGTATTCCTGGAGTAATTCCAGGTACATCTTGGAATGATTAATCTCATATTTTTCTCTACTCCGAAGACTCTTTAGCCGAGTAGACAACTCCACTGGCTCTTCTTCAAATTCGTGCTCGAGGTCCTTTAGTTCTTTCTTGAAAGGCCGCGGGACATCAGGCACGTGAATGCCGGCCAGCTTCTTGCCAATGAGATTTTTTGATTTGAGTGATTCCTTGTACATCTTCACTTCTCGTCCCTTGGGCACCTCGAGGCCCAGTGCTTGCATCCTGGCTAGTGTATTCAGAGCGGACTCCTTGTTAATCCAATCATCGCGCAACGCGGTGCGGTTTTCGGCTTTCAGCTCTTGTCCCGCCACCTCGTGAATCCACTCGCACGCGAGCTCTGCTTCGAAGGAGCCTCGCTTGCGGCGGTTTAGTGACTTGGGAACGAGCCGGCGCTTCTCATCGTCACTCACCCACAGAAGCATGCGAACTAAGCCATATTTCTGGAACAACGAGGATGACTTGATACTAGACATGAACTGGTACATGACCATGGTGCTAATGCTGTCGAACCCAAGGAAGGCTTTCTTGGGATAGGTGGATAAGTTTGCTGTGACCAGCAGCGTGTCGTTTCGTATCGGCTCTGCTTCTCCCGTAGAGAGCGATTCTTGATGGGAGAGCTTGGTCTGTATCATCTCAAATAGGTCCTTCCAAACTATTCCCGACTTTGGAATCAGCTGTACATTGTCTTTTGAAGTCAGATTTTTGAGAAACGGGCTGTACAGTTCGGCGTCAAGGTCCATCATGATGTGATTTCGAGGCTCCAAAAAGTCATGAAGCTTGCGGCTCCACACGCCTACGCCGGGATTCAAATCAATCAAGTCACATCCTCTATGGCGTTCCAATGATGTGCCCATGTATTGGATGATGTCGTCTGAAGCACTAGTCAGTTCGTGTTGTCCATCATGCTGTATAAAAGCATGAAGCCGTTCCAAGATGACACATACCGCAAAGTCCTTCGCTTACAATGTTTACTCTGTGAGGCTCTATCGCTCTTGGGGTTTTGCTCGCCTTTCTGCCGCCCCTGAGATTCCATATCCCCATTTCCGCGAGCTGTTTTGCTACGGTGCTTGTCGCCTTGAGCATATCTGGAGCCTTTGCTTTAGTCGCTGCCCCCCGAGCAAAGGTTATCGAGGGTTGGTGCAGCAGCCTCGCCAGACTTGTGCGTCCATTATGAAGACGAAGTGACATGAAGAAGAGAAGAAAGAGGCTAGATTGGGGTGTTGATGCTGTATGGAAAGGAAGGGTCAAACAAGCTGCAAAATGTTCAAGTGACGGAGAATTCAAGGTGAGGCCCGGTGTGGTGGGGCGCTCACCGAATTTAATGGGCCTCCATGCCACCCACACTGACTTATTCAGTCTTCAATGTCATCAGTGTAAAGAAGAGGAGCTTGAGAACTGCGTCAAAACTGACCTATTCACATCAAATTCATAATGAAATTTCAGGAAGCATTTCCTTCTCCAATGCTGGGTTTCACACAGAACAGCTTCCCTCACAGACCCGAGCAAGGCAACCATCCATTAACGCGATTTCCTGTATAAAAAGAGACTCAGCTCGGGAGATATCCCGATTATTACTTCTTGTGGTCACTGCAGGGTGAATCATTTTTCTTCTCGTGAAAGAGAAACGTTTATCATCATCATACAGGCAAATACCAAATCATCTTGGGCTCAAAATCAAATCACATCCTACAAAGATGCCGGCCCACCATCTACCATAAAAAGAATCGAGTATGAAAACAGCTTCTTTTCCTTTTCCAGTAAGACAGATGTATTACGTTTCCCGAATTCAACATTGTATGTGCAAAGAGTGCCTAGATGCCCCTCTAACTCCTCAAAGCGCCGCTGTGCCATGTACTCTCAAAGACACGCCCATTGCCTAAGCTCCCTCGCTGCCAAATTCATTTGTCCATTCAATTTGCTTCTCAATATCATCCTTGGACACTGTGGGATGTGAGTCGGCCAAAGCTATCTCAAAATCTTGGAGCGTCACGTCTGGAGCCGACAGCTCCTCCGGCTTGACATCGTCGTACGTCATCTCAATCTTCTCCGGGTCTCCAGGAGAGCAAGGCGTCAACATTCTCTTGCCATCTTTCATTATCTAGAAATTTTTAGTATCAGCAGGGCACAGTTTGGTAGTCGGAAAGCTTGAAACATACGGGCTTGAAATGAGTCGCTTGCAAAATCTTCCGAACGGGTCTCATGAGAGCGTGTTGAACAACGTTGCTGATGTCGCTTCCCGAGAATCCATCTGACAACGATGCCAGAGCGCTGAAATCGCTAGCTTCCAAAGCAGTGTCTGTATCTCCAATAGCAAGCTTGAACATCCTCGCTCGCCCGTTGGGGTCGGGTAGGCCGATGTGAACACGTCTTTGGAAACGTCGGCGAATAGCGGCATCCAGTTGCCATGGAATGTTGGTTGCGCCTAGTACAAGAATGCCCTTGCTGTCGTTGCCGACACCGTCCATCTGCACTAGGATTTCCGTCTTGATACGTCGAGAAGCTTCAGATTCACCCTCACCTCGAGGGCCGCAGAGAGCGTCAATCTCGTCAATAAATATGACAGACGGCTTGTTCTCTCTTGCCATGGAAAACAAGAGCTTCACGAGTCTAATCGCAAAATCACCGTCAGCTACAAGGGCACGTGAGGCGCCATCGCCATCCCGCAGAAACTAAACTCACCTTTCACTCTCACCCATCCATTTGCTCACCAAGTCAGAACTGCTAATACTGAAGAACGTGCTGTTTGCTTCTGTCGCGACGGCTTTGGCCAGGTAACTCTTTCCGGTTCCTGGAGGGCCGTACAACAAGATACCCTTCCACGCTTGTCTCTTGCCCTGAAACAGGTTTGGGAATTTGATGGGCAGCACGACGGCCTCTTTCAACGTCTCTTTGGCGCCCTCCAATCCAGCAATATCCTCCCATCTCACGTTTGGTCGCTCCTGGAGAATGGCTCCTGACAGCGCATTGCGAAGCTTCTTGCTGTCTTCGTCCTCTGCTGATGGCTTGGCTTTGCCTCCTGCGCTGGATCCATTGGCTCCCATGGGCGTCTTGCCGCCGCTGGCATTGGCCTCACTCTCGGATTGCAAGAACTGCTTCAGCTTTTCGGCACGGTCCAAGTAGGTAGCCATCTTCTCCTGCATGGTGGCCTTGATGGCCTTGTTCTTCTCCCACTTGAGGGCCTTGACCCAAAGCTCCATCGACGACATGTAGAGATCAAAGGCCTTTTGGTATTCCTTCTCGTTGTCCGCGGCAATAGCCTTCTGGACCTCGGCGATGGCCCGGTCTCGAAAGTTGACGGACATGATGACGGTTGCCTCGCAGTGTTGGAGGATGCGAGCGCCAAAAAGACGACGGCAATGCGGCCTCGGAGAGGGACTCGAGGCGACAGGCGGCGTGTCACGTATAAGCCGTCTTGGGAGGATTCGACAGGCCGGTCGAGCTGGTCACCAGAGGGAGGTCGGGCTTTATCAGGAACGAGATGATGCCATGAACTGGACTGGACTGGATACTGTAACAAAACATGGAGGCCGTACCTGCGCTACTGACCGCTGGCGGGGTAACATTTTACCTCTGTAACGGGGCGCAATTTGGAGCTGCCTGCTGATACTTAGCGGGGCGTCACCAATTCGACTCTAGCACTCATCGAATCGAATCGACCAGTCGTGCCAGGTAAGATTAGGCTGATATATAAGATTCCGCAGGATTGGACTGTGCCTGGCCGTGACTGATCAAGCAGACAAGGGAATACCATCAATCACGCGTTGAGTCTCAAAGATGGCCGAGATCCAGGCCAAGCTGCAGGCCCTTTCCGAGGAGTATCAAAAGCTCCAGCAGGGTGAGTAACGTGATGACATCTTCATGAATTCACTGCATCTAGCTGTATGGACCTCATTTTAGTTGTGCAGTGGTTTCTAATGTTCATTTATTTAGATCTCCAAAACACAGTGGCTTCGCGCCAGACGCTGGAGGGACAGAGACAAGAGAACCTCGGTGTGCAAAAGGTCGGTGTCTCTCGATTTCCCACCAAGATGCTCAGACGGAGACTTTAGAAACTAACATTCCGAAGGAGTTTGAAAACATTGGCGAGGATGAGACCATCTACAAGCTTGTGGGACCAGTCTTGCTGAAGCAGGAAAAGTTCGAGGCGGAGAGCACCGTCAAGGGTCGACTGGACTTTATCGGAGGCGAAATGTTGGTCACCACGCATGATTTATTCACATGCATATGATTTTCCTTACTTCAGAAGCACGGCTAACGTTATGCAGCACAAGATTAGAGGGCCAGATCAAGGAGACGCAGGAGAACATTGAGAAGAAGAAGACTGAGATTATCCAGATCCAGGCGGGGGCTCAAGGGGCCATTGGCGCACAGTAGATGACGAGATAAATAAATCAAATGATGAGCTAGCTTAGCATCACATCCAAGATCTTTCTCCCAGGCCACAAACCTCTCATGTGTCCACACTCACATTCATTATGGAACTGTACAAGTATGTTCCATGATAGGGCGCTGCCCCCTTTTTAAGATTTGTTCGGGATAGACACGCCTTGCCCACATTGGCGCCACGCCAGCGTACTGCACATGCAATTAAACCCTCCTTCTGTTCGCCCAGTCTACAGCGGTTTAATGCCCCGCCATATTGTCTTGGAGGGGCCGACGTCAACTTGCGGCTTCTGTTAGTTGCAAGTTTGCCAGGAACAACGACCATTTAATCTTTCTGCCTGCCAGGCAGCTCTCCTGCTCTGCAGTATTTGGCGGCGGCCTGGGCTTCTAGCATAAGATATTTCCCCTAGAGAGTCCGGGATTCGCAGAGACGCTCGCCGACCAGATCCCAAAGCCCATCTCGTCCAGCGTTTCGCAATGGAGGCTCGTCCGAGCATGGCCGCGGGCCGGCCGCAAAGTGTCAAGGAGCTGGTAGCTCAGGCCGAGAGCTTTGCCTTCAACGTTAATATCGCTATGAAGCACTGGATTCGGGCTGCTGATACACTCTATCAAGAGGTACGTGCAGAAATGCTGCTGCTGCTGCTGCTGCTTTTTCTTCTTCTCTAGTCGCTTTGACCCATGCGCTGACATGATTTCAAGGCATCATTTGCCTTGTCGGATGGCGATTACGGACGAGCCTACATGATGCTATATCGACACTCCGTCTTGGTCCTGAAATTTCTACCCACTCACCCTCAATTCAAGGATCCCGAAAATAAAAAGGCGTTCAAATTACTATCGAAGCGGATTCCTCGCGTCCTCGAAGACCTTGAGCAGCTGAAACCCGAGATTCAGGCTTTGTATGACGAATGGGAACGCGCTGCACCATCTCCCGCTGCAGAACGGCATAAACAGCAGGCAGCATCGTCGTATGCAGCCTTTGCAACTCGAGATCCAAGTCTAAGTGGTAACGCGAGAATTTTGGACGCGGCTGAGCACCAGCAGCTAGCAGTGGATTTAGCACAACAAGAGCTAAGCCGACGAGAGCGAGATAAACATGCAAGCAAGCATAGTAGCGTTTGGGACGCGCGAGGCGCCAGGAGTAGAACGTCGCAGTTCGATGACGGCGATCTTCGAAGGCAGATGGAGGCAACACGACGTACGCTTGACATGGCACAAGAGCGCAGAAACATTGATTCAGCATTGGAAGATCACGATCGGAGTCCTCCAGTGACATCCCAAAACTATTACTACCCATCACTCTCCAAATCTAGGCCTGTCGAATACGAACAAGGCCGTTATTCATCATCAAGAGAGCCCCAATCGACTAGACCGCCAAAGGAGCAGTTTGACCTACCTCCCTTGCGGCATGAAGACAGATTCGATACTTCACAGTCGGCTATCCCGCCCCAGGTACCCCACAAGGCTCATCTTGATGACTATCGACCACTGGATACTCCTCCACGGCCGCTGGTTGATGTTCATCAGCCTCCTCTTCCGCCCAAAGATTCGATGGAAATTCCTCAGCCGAAGAAAGAGCGCCTCGCCTTTAAGCCTGGAGGGTATCTCGAGAATGGGGATCCTATCCGATCAATATTCCTCCCCGGTAGCCTGCGCTCCAGGTTCCTGGAAATTGCCTCCAAGAACACGGCAGCCGGCTTAGAGACCTGTGGCGTCATCTGTGGAACGCCCATCAATAACGCCCTCTTTGTCCGATGCCTCCTGATTCCGGATCAAAAATCCACTCCCGACACGTGCGAAACGGAGAACGAAAGTGCTCTGTTCGATTATTGTATGAGTGAGGATTTGTTGATGCTGGGCTGGATACACACACATCCAACACAAACGTGTTTCATGAGTTCTCGTGATCTCCACACGCACGCGGGATATCAAGTAATGATGCCTGAAAGCATTGCCATTGTGTGCGCGCCGAGATACAATGAGTAAGTTGGAAAAGACGGCGATTCGCGTAAACAGCATCTGACTAACCTGGATCCAGGCACGGCATCTTTCGACTCACGCACCCCCCTGGTTTAGATCACGTCCTGAACTGTAATCGCACAGAGACATTTCATCAGCATTCTATTGACAACCTCTATCGAGAGGCCTATCACCCTAATGGGCACGTATATGAAAACGACAATATGCCCTTGGAAGTAGTCGACCTGCGGATGACATGATGAAATAGCTCACATCCTGGACCTCAATACCCGACTATTAAGGGAGCATCGTGAAGCGTTACGTTATCGGCAATATGGTCATGCTGCAGCGATTTTTCTTCCTTTTTTTTCACGCGAGCATATGTCACAATTTCCCATCCTTCTTTAGGGGTTTTCTTGATCTGAGTGCCATCATCATATCCAAACATCTAAGAAGTTGAAAGTTTGCGACTAAATGACGGTCATCACAAAAAGAATCTAGCATCGATGCGGACAACAAATGTGCGGCTTAAGTCTTGTTATGATAAACTATCGCCAAGAAAGTAAGACGGTCGCTGTGAAGAATTCATATCACCCAAGGCCAATTTCCAAGATGGACTGCACATTTCGATAAGACTGGGCAGGAAACGGGTAGGTTTCCATGCAACATGTAAGTCACTACTCGAGTTGAACAGCTCCCGGTCGATACTGCGCGTGCGGCGCGCTGTCATGCAATTCTCCTATACGACCAGTGTTACAAGGTTTCGCACAAAGAGATTGCCTCCATATCGATGTGCTTGTACTGTTGACTGCAGCGCGGCTGGAAATCATTACAAGGGCATGGAAATGCAGGGCGCGAAGAATTCGAAGAGATTATCAGATGTGTGGTGGACAAGGATGGTTACTATCACCCGCCGAGATGGGTGCACTTCTAAACTACTCTGTAATATTATATTTGCTTGATCATGGGCTGTGTACACCGACTCATACCTTGCTACGAGTACTAACGAGGACACAAAATGAAGCATCATCAGAACTTGAATCATCCAAGGGGCATGACAAAGTAGTATCAAAGCCAACCACTCGGTTTTCAGAAAAAGGACGGCCAAGTTGCGGTGACAGTGGAACCAGCTTGGGCCAGCCCTCCAGCCGCAGCAAACAAACGGATCGAGCCCTATCTGAGATGACCCGCCCCCTGGTCCGCCTCTTATGGGATATCTAGCAGAAAATATTGCAAGCTGCGGATGACGGAAGATGCGCTCGGATAACGATCTCTTCATATCAATCCGTATATGAACTAGCAACAGGATTCATCTGGATCACATTGGGATCTCCCAGCTTCGATCCATTGGGTCCTGATCGTCGATTTGGCCCATCCCTTGACTCTCACTTTTTATTACATGGTCTCAATGACGATACACGTACGACTCCGGTGAGCTGGTCTAAGTTATTGGCCTCTCCACATACGTCTATGCAGGGTTCAGGTTGGATGGCTCTTTTGCGGCGTGTGCTCGTACACTCGAGTTTCGCACAGAGTGTGCTCCGAGTATCTGCATATACCCGTGCACTGCATCGACTTGTGCAGGATGATGACAATATATACGAATACGTAGACAACAATCACAAGGGGGAGAGGGGGGAAACAGCAATTGGCAAAAAAAAACCATCCCGCAAGGAAGCTCGACGTAATAGGCGTAGCATCGCAGGTTTTCAGCTGGCATCGAGCACGCCTCTCATTTCTCCATGAGAAGTGTGGACCCCGGGAAAGGACCAATCCGGGCGACGGCATTTCATTCTGAGCAATGATCTGCTCGTAAAGTCTGGCGCCTATATATGCATGTCTTAGACAGACGTCCAGCGAGACCGGGGGCATGGACGAAAGAGACGGCACGGTGAAAACTCGCCCGCCCGCTATCTCCAGGACTGCTGGGCAGGATTGGCCGATTTGCACTGAAGCCATCTGCACGTCTGTTGCAGCGCATGAGGCTTGCGCAATTAGCGTCCGAGGCAGCTTGTCCAGCACTCAAGGGAGGGAGGGGACTCTCAGCAGCTTTGTCTCTTGATGCTGGGCAAATGGCGAAGCCAGCTTCTCCGTACTGTACACAGCCAAGGCCACGCTGTTGAGGATCGTACGACGTGCTGCTACCGGCAGCTCTCGAATCACACGCGCATGGCTCTTGGCGTCCGTTGTTCACTTGCTCCGTCCGGCGTCCGACTCTGAAGCTGCCATGGCGACGATTCCAGGGATCTGACGTTGGCCCTGAGCAGGTTAACCGCATGAAGCTCGATCCTCCAAGGGCACGGAGCTGTACCCGCAGCACTAGGTCTAGCGGGAATCGGCATTTTCAGGTGACGGCCGACTAACACTCGCACCCATGATGCCAAAAGAGTCGACGGCGCAATCTGGTTGTCCATAACGAGATGTGGTGGGTCGAAGGGGGTGGGAACCAGCAAGGTTCGATTCACCACAACACGTCCATCCTAACAATATGGATCACTCCCAATATCAAGCTTCGTGAGCTGAGAAGCCAGACCCACAGAGGCAGAGACAAAGGGAGAGGGCGGCGCAGGGGAAACCTCTCGGAAGATGACCCTCGTTCAACATGTGTTATACGTTTGTTGTACGACGCCACCAAGGTCCAGACGTTTGCCAAGGGCACCTCCTCCAGGCGAGTGTAATCCAACATCAAGGAGGGGGAGGCCATTCTTTCTTACCAAACTTCCGCCTCCCCGTGACGACTTGACGGAATCTATCCCGTCATTATCCCTGGGCCTCTCCGCATGTATGTCTTACCCTGACATACAGGCCCTCCAATAAGGGCGGCTGGGGGCGTATAGGGAAATACTACATCCCGTACTAGGACTACTATCAGCCTTTCCGGTCCCCCTGGGATGGAGCTAGAGGCATCGCAGCTTGGAGCAAGCAGACACGGCTTTTGCAGAGGTGCCGGTTGCACACGGTAGCACACACCATGTGGGCTCCCCAGTTGCCGCAGCACTCATCATTCGTCTTTCTTGTTCGACAATGTAGTAGTAATGGCTTAGTTCCCAGGGTCGATCTCAGCATGCTGTCGCTAAGATTTCTGGTTCAGCCGCAGCCCGCGGCCCGAACCCTCATACGTCCGGATGTTTCTGAATGGCTAATTGGAGATGTCTGTACCCATAATGCTTGATAGACTAATGCTGCCGGGGTCTCGTAATGTTTCTGAAAGGGGAGAGCACGGCGGCAAGCATGAGCTGTAGTTTGTCCCCCGGATGGTAGATAAGACGCCGGGACGCTCCCCCCAGCTGCATGAGCTTGTCCATTGCCTTTTCCTTCCTCCCTCCCATTACACATTTTCTGCTGCTCTTGAATTCTCTTTTATGATACCCGGCCAGTAGCAATATTCTGTCCACTATGAGTTCCAGCAGAGATGTCCCCAATGGCAACCATGCCACTGTCGAATACCCCGGCGGCCCTGTTGCAAAGGCAAAGAAGACTAAGCCTGTCAAGTATGGCAGCTTGATGCAGCTATATCGTGCTTCTCGCCGACCTCTCCCTGACAAGACTGGAGATGGTACCTACCAGGTGGTCAGGAACAGGCCGTCGCTGATGCAGGATTTGCGAACAATCACCTTTGAAGGTAAATAGCCATGCCACTACTCTACGAAGCACGGCATCCTGACTCTTTCTTCTAGATCTCAAGACCCTCAAGGCAATTGTCACTGCCAAGCTCAAGGGCGAGACTCAATCCGATGACAAGACTATGATAATGGAGAAGACCATCCAATTGGTTGCTGCGCTACCTGGTGGTTCCAAAAGACAAGAGCGGCTCACCAACATGTTCATTGACGAGCTGTGGTACTCTCTTGACCACCCCCCATTGTTGTATATGGGAGACCAATTCCGCTTCCGCCAAGCTGATGGCTCCAACAATGTGAGTTTTTAACGCTTCGATTACACGCATTTACGATTGGAAGCTCATCAAGATTACCCAGAACCCTCTTATGCCCAAGCTCGGTGCAGCTGGTACTCCCTATTCTCGCTCATGCCATCCTACTGTCGTACCACTGGGAGTTTTGCCTGACCCAGAAGCCATTTTCGAGTCCATCATGGCTAGAGACAAGTTTATCAAGAACCCCAACAACGTCTCGAGCATTCTGTGGTACTGGGCTACCATCATCATCCACGGTAATTATCACAGCGCGATTACGTTTTGAAAACAGAGCTAACCGTAATTTTAGATCTGTTTTGGACGAACGAAAAGGATTCCAACATTAATGACTCGTCATCATATCTCGACCTAGCCCCCCTCTATGGCCACAGTCAAGATGCCCAGGACTCGGTTCGCACATTCAAGGATGGCATGCTAAAGCCTGATACCTTTGCCGACAATCGACTTCTGGGCATGCCGCCGGGTGTCTGCATCATCCTTGTCATGTTCAATCGCGTTCACAATCATGTTGCCGCAAATATGGCTGCCATCAATGAAGGCAACAGATTCTCCAAGCCTTCTCCGACCCTCCAGGGAGATGCTGCGACCGCAGCTTGGAAGAAGTATGACGAGGAACTGTTCCAGACAGCTCGCCTGGTGACTTCCGGATTGTACATCAACATCACTCTGGTCGACTACGTGCGAAACATTATCAACTTGAACAGAGTTGACACCGAGTGGACACTGGATCCTCGACAAGAAGCCGGCGTCGACGTCGGCACCACAAAGGGCTCTGAACGAGGAGTCGGCAACAGCGTCTCTGCGGAATTCAACCTCTGCTACCGCTGGCACTCATGCATCTCTGAGATGGACGACGAGTGGATCCACGACTTCTACGACGATCTCTTGGGCGAGAACTATGGTACCATGGACATGCGCACGCTGATGATTGCTTTCCGCAAGTTTTCCATGGGCATGCCCAAGGACCCTGCCGACTACGTCTTTGGCGGCTTCACGCGTGGCCCTGGCGGACGTTTTGATGACGATGATCTCGTCAACTGCATTGCCACGGCCATTGAGCAGCCAGGTGGTTCTTTCGGTGCCCGCAACGTGCCTCGCATCATGAAGCCCGTGGAGATGCTCGGCATCATTCGTGGCCGGAAGTGGCACCTGGCTGGCTTGAACGAGTTCCGCAAGCACTTTGGCCTCAAGGCCTACGAGACCTTTGAGGACATCAACTCGGATCCCCAGGTTGCAGACGCCCTGCGCAACTTGTACCAGCACCCCGACTATGTCGAGCTCTACCCTGGTATTGTCGCCGAGGAGGCCAAGACGCCCATTGTTCCC